GATAATGTGTTTATTCAACAGATATATCTTTAGATAAACGGATTATCCGAGATCTGAACACTATCACTATAGATAGTAGGAAAACATTTGAATTTACGTAGGATTGATCCGAAATTAAGGATGGATCCGTAAAAAATTCGGATTTATCCGTAATTTTTAGGATGCGGGTTGAATTCGGATGGCCACTCCAAGGTAGGATCGGAACACTACATATAGCAACTTCACTTCTAAATAAAGTCCTCTGTTTGGGGATTATTTGGGATTATTTTGTATAGCGAAGGCAATGTACTTCTAAACCTAATGATGAAAAAATTTTTATTTTTCATAAATAAAATGGCGAAATGTCGCAATTTCAAAAGTACTTTAACCCGTGTAAATTAGTTATCTGAGCTATTTGTTCGAAGAAGAATGTCCTCCTATGAGAGATATAGCACGAAAATGTCACGGGAAGTAGGGTTCAGTGTTGGAAATCATATGTTCATTTCACAATAAACATAAATTTTTAAAATTTCTATATTTTATGTTCACATAGTGGGAACATAAGAAATCAAAAATTTTATATTTTATGTTCACAATAGTGTGAATATAAATTTTAAGTTTTATAATTTATAATTTATTAATATAAAGATCGTATTTATGCTAATACAAGTGTAGTAGAGTGCTGCTGACCCTTATCAGATACATCATAACTAATATTAATAAAAAACTTGTAATTTTAAGAGTTTTTAATTTTATATATTAACAGTTAATTATTATAAATCATATATTTGTGAACATATTTATTTTTATGTGTACATTATAAAAAAAAATTATGTTCACAAAAATCATTAATTTTTTTTGAATTTCCAACACTGGTAGGGTTATAAGTAAGCATTCCCAAAAAAATATAACATCTGAAAAGTTCTGACGTAGAACCTAAAAGGCGAGCGTGGCCTATTCGGAATAATCCGAAAAATAAGCGATAAATGGATGCAGAATATTCAAATTGTTATTATAACCAACACAGAATTCATAAAATATAATGCACGAATATTAGCAGAATTCTTAAATTTTTAAAGCGCTTTCATCACGGACGGAATCAACGTCTCTGGTCATATGATAAGAGATATGAAAAATGATAGACCCACACATACGATGCTACATAAATCTGCACTTCCAACGTGCATAACTAGAAATTTTTCTATCAGATATCAGTACGTACGTCAGATAACGTTGTGAGCCCGGAAACGTGACCCGAAGCAGGCACGTGCCCTCGTGATTCCGGATATTTTCCAAATTTGGGCTCCCCGCCATGATCAGCCTGATCCCTTTGATTTCTTTGATAATTCTGATAATACTGATCCGGGTTATTAGAAGGATCCGTATAATCCGAACTTTTTCAATGATATTAATGATAGTAGTTATAAGACCGATTATAATAATAATGAGGATCTAAAGGATCCTTCGAATGTAAATAGCTGAATTAATCATTATAAATAAAGGCCTTTTGGCCTTGGGAAGAAATAACTCCCGCCTTTGCTTTATTAAAATCCTTTTAATCATACATTTACTTTTCATAAATCATACAAAATTACTTATGATAAAATCACCCAGTCACTATATCTCCAAATTACTTCTAATAAATCATACACCGCTAAGTCTCGTATATTGAACTTAACGTTTGATAAAACACTTTCGTTACGCCCAATACTAAGACTATAAAAGGCCTGTCCCGAAATTATACCATCTAACACGCCTTTTTCGACCCTACGTAGCCTGAATTTTGGTTACACAACTCCTGTTTCGATTTAGCGACAGACTCGCCGATTTTGGGTCTGACAACGTCTTGAATTAACTTTACAAAGAAAGCAAATCGTTTATCGTTATCGCATTTTTATCATAATCGCATAATAATAAACATGTCCAAGAAAATTATTGTGTATAATATTCCAGCATATGCTTCTGAAAAAACGGGTTTGTTAAAAAAATTCTCAAAAGAAACATTTGCTATTAAGAGTATAATATTTGCAACCTTTTGATAATCTTACACTATTCTTTATTTATGTTATCCAAAATTAGTTAAGGATTTTTTCTTGTTCTGTGGAAAGATTAAAGAGTATAACCTTATAAAGTGAGTTTTTTTTAATTTTACCTTACATCATCCTGAAGTTATCTAATTATATGTTCGATTGTTTATATAGGGAAAAAAATAGTGATAAAAAAATTGCCTATATTACATTTGACCGCGGTATATAATCATAATTAAAAATATAATTTCCTCCGACATTATAATTTTAACGTATTATTCATCTATACAATAGAAACTGCTGTAAAAACTGCTTTAATGTTAAATAATGCCGTCATTGGTGACTCTCAAATAATTGTCAAATCTGACACAATAGAAACTGCTGCAAAAACCGACTCTCAAATAATTGTCAAATCTGACACATATTATTGTGGAAATGATATGAGTCTAGAGGATAAGGTTAGAGATCATTACTATGAATTTTTTGTTTGTCACAAATTTTAAACATATCGAACATTGTTATTACTCCAATTTTCTATTTTTATAATAGTTAATGTCATATTATGATGAAAGGCATCAATTACCATTAATTCCTTATAATGAATTCGAAAATATTGAAGAGATCAAAAAAGGTGAATTCGCGACAGTATTCAAAGCTCAATGGAAAAATAAAGAATTTGCACTTAAATTAATTCATAATTCGAATAAACAAGAATTTATGAATAAGGTAATTTTGTAATATAATAGAATACTGTATATCTATCTTACATATCTATTTAAATTAACTTTTTTTTTTTTAATAGCTCAGAGAGTATTCTGAACTTATAAATAAAAGATTTTCATTTTTTAAATGTTATGGAATATCGAGAAACGAAACCTCCCAAGATTACATTATTGTATTAGATTATGCATTTAAAGGCTCTTTGCGCAATAATCTTCATAATATACGCCAAATGGAATGGAAAATGAAACTAAATTTATTACATTGTATCGCTTCTGAACTTGAGATGATTCATAATCAAGGACTTATTCATCAAGATTTGCATAGCGGTAATATTTTACAAAATAATTTACAAAGTGCGTATATCGTGGATTTAGGACTTTCCATATTATATAATAAACAACAAGATAATGAAATTTTTGGAGTAATACCGTATGTAGCTCCTGAGGTTTTATCGGGACAACAAAAATTTACTCATGCGTCCGATATCTATAGTCTTGGGATAATAATGACAGAAATTTCGAACGGACGACGAGCTTTTGATGGACATGAATTTGGTAACGATTTTGCAATTAAAATTTGTAATGGATTACGTCCAGAGTTCGCTTCTGGAATTCCTAATTGTTTTATCAAATTGGTCAAACGATGTGTAAGTTCGGATCCGAAGGAACGACCTACTGCCAAAATCGTTAATGCCAAAATTTCTATTTGGATTGATGAAATTGCAAGTTTAGATAATGAAAACAAAATTAAAAAACAATTCTACGAGGCCGACAAAATAATTAAATTAAATATTGAACATCAAGATCATATATATACGAGCAAAATAATCAATACACAGAAAATTTCAGATGCTAATAAGTTCAGAAGCTTGTATGTAGAATAGGTAGCTAATACTTAGAGGACCGACATAGTCAGATTTTTAAATATGATCCTTATATAAATTTATTCTAGAAAATTAGCATACCGTATTTTCGCGGAATAACGCGCAGGGGTGTAATTTCGAATTTGGCCTAAATTAAGCTCAATTCGGGCCAAAATTCGAAATAACGCTCATGAGCGTTATTCCGCGTAAGAGCTTATTTAAAATTCATCATAAATGAAATTCATGCTTTTTTTTTTACATTTATAAAAAATTTTGTTTCAAAATTTGATGTTAAAATTAGCTAAGAGTTAAGTGGAAGCTTGATTATGATCAGAGGTTAACCTTTTTTAAATGTACAACGTTCTTTACTTGCGTAAAAACATTGAAAAAAATACTTTGGTGAATGTTAAATAAATTTTTTTAAATCAAACCAGTGGTGTTCAATACCGCATTTATTTTTAATAGTTTCATTAGTAATATTTAGGATTAGGGGATCTATATTAAAGTAAAGGGTCTAAATTAGATATAGGGGCGTTGAGCATTTTACTTAGAATACGAATACTGTGATTTTGAACACCATTGGCGTGATTTAGCAAAACCATTTGCATATTGTAAAATTTAAGTATATCGGTTCATTTGACCAATATTTACAGCATTTTGAACCCCTATAAGGGGAAATATCCTTTGTCCGTTAATGTAATTCAGAAGAAATTTAAAGAATCTATTGCCTTTATTTAGAAACAATATAATTAAATTTCAATTTTGCTTATTATAATCAATCGAAACTAATTTTCACCATAAAATATTTCTTTTTTTTAATAAAAAAAAAAAAGCTTTGTGAGAATATTCACTTGTGTACCACGGAATATCAAAGATCATAACAAGCTGCGCCCTCTAAAATACAGGGGGCTTAGATGAGGCTTAGATAATCCAGTAATCGTTTGATAAAAATACGTAATCGTGATATAGGATTACTCTATATTAATATAAACAAGAGGGAAGTCACATTAAACCTTAACGTTAATTAATAGCCCATAAAAAGGACGTAACTTGGGTAAGTTGGTTACAGCACTTATGTGCCACATAAACACACTAACCCGATAATAATTTCATGAATTGCCTTATAGCATAAAGTCTATATTTTAGAGTATAAAGTATCGATCGTACAATTCACCCGTAACAGTAACGACATTAAAACTTCCAAAGTATCAAGGACGGAATTATAACGCTTAGAGCTCGCTAATAAAAAGATTTACAATAATGTACAGTACGCGCTATGTTACTATTAAAATTGCCTATAATAGAAACAATGGCATCAATCACGTTATTTTCCTTTATGTGTACAAATATTTGCTAATTGCGTTGAAAAAAAATTGTACTATTCATTCTTCCTTTTTTTTATCGTTAAGATGTCCGGACGTTTGGATATTCCTGGTAACGGTGTACCTTATAATCATGCCATCAACGGTTTCAAGAAATGCGTCCTTTGTAAAGAGTCGCCTCAAAAATTTCCAAATGAGCTTAGCCGGCGCGAATACCAAGAAATAAGTGGAATTTGTGCCTGTTGTTGGGAAATAACAACGCTCCCCCCTGATGAAGGAGTCGAACATGCAAAGAACGTACTACTTTTCTATGGACGCGAGTTCATTTTTCGAAATGAATGGCCGCATTCATGGAAATGTCTTACATGTAACAAGTTAGTTCAGGGAGAACAGACCAAGAAACCGCACATATGTGCAATTGAAAATGTATGTAAAACATGCATGAAAAGTTGTAGCATGAGATGCAAAAAGTGTAAAACAGTGTATTATTGTAATGAGAATTGTCAAAAGGAAGATTGGCGAAGGCACAAAAAAGAATGTATTTAAAGATAGCGCATCATAATCGTTATATTTATGATAATGTAAGTTTCTTTTCTATATATGATTAATATATTTCAATACAATTATAATCTTATGCTCTAACTGTTGCGGTGACCAGTGTTGGAAATTTCAGATCCAAATACTGTTCTCATGAGAACAGGATAATACTTATAGGGTGTTCTCAAACATTAAACTACATAAAAAACTACATAACTGAAGTCAGAAAATTAAATAAGAGCATATGTAAATGAAATTTTAAAAAAATGTAAAGTTTAAAGATCGCTTGATTCTATATTATTATGATTTTTTTCGATTTTGTCATCGAATAAATCTGAGCATTATCTAAAATTGTATTGTAATGTTTTAAGCGATTCTAAATCCATTATATTACTGTATCAATTACTGTAACAATTCGTTTCAATAATATTACTTTTCTTTAAATTTAATCGACATAGCTAAATGGTACTACGATTTAGAATTAAAAAAAATTTCTATCTCATGAGTCTTAACAACAGATCATTATCACAAAGTTGTAATTATGATAATTGTAGTTTTCAAAAAATAGTCGTTTAGGCTTTTTTTTTTTTTTTGATATTATAGAAATGATGTTACAGACCACTTGTTTCTAAATAAATGCATCATTTATTTAAACCAAATTCAGATTTCGTATTTATGATTATCTGATAGGTTTAATGTGAATAACCTTAACAATATTCTAGACTTTAAACTTTAAGCGCTTGCGGAATTAATTTTGACGTACGTACGGCATCAGCCAAATATCAGGTAGAAATTATGCGAAATACTTCTACTTAATGTGTAATAATGACACAAATACAGTTGGACGTTAATAAGCAAAACTATTCCATATATTTACACGGAAATAACAAACTAAAATCAGAACTTTAGATAACATATTATACGAAAAAGACCATTTAAAACCAAAATAATAATTAAAAATTTATTATATGCAATATGAAATATTAAAAAATTTTTTTTGATTGAATAAGGTTAGAGCGGTAGGGATCATGTTTACAAATAGTGTCCTAAAATTTTAGCAAATTTTCTTGCATGCTCTAAATAGTAATTTCAGGTGCCCGAAGTCACCCAGGAAGGCAACAACCTTAAGCACGGCATATTTTAAGTATAAATATCAATAAATTTTGCTTGATATGTTTCGCTTTGCAACATTATTTAGCCGAAATAATATTTGTATTACATAACAGTTATACGTATCTCTCTGCGAAATGTTATCCGTGTTAGGGGAGTGCCGTTTATTAAATAATTTTTTTAGGGCAATTGGATTAGATATACGTAGTATAGCTGACACTTTAATAAATAATTAATTGATTTAAAGTAGGTGTCACCTATACTATATTTAATCCGGGCAATTTATCACGTCAATATATTGAATATACAGTAAACGTTATAATTGGCTGTATAATAAACGGCACACCCCTTACATAACATTGTTACGTATTTATATAGCACGTACTTCAGTACTCTCATGCAGCTTATAATAATGTTGAAAACTGACTTAAAAGAGATTTGCAAGATGGAAATTTTGTTCATTGTCAGGCATTTGATTCTCAGAGAATAGCTCAAGGATGGACAAGTGGAAGCAAAATTATTGATGATTTCCTTATAGAATTCCAACTTAATTTGAGTGGATTCCTTTTAATAGGTTAAATAATATTCGACAGAATGATGGTGGGTTTTCAGCAACTTGGTTAGATGGCATACGAATAATTTCTATAGACGAATGCAATGAATGCACGCAATCACGTATGCCATGTATAATTGACCTTAAAATATTACCCAGTTCTCAGGATTCAATGAATCTGTTAGAAGAGGTAAGAAATAGGGTGAAATCTATATCTATTCATTATGTATATATACTTATAATGAAATTTGACGTTTAATAAGTTCAAGATCCATATAAATAATTGCAAAGTATACGGGCTAACTCAAAACACGACTACTAATGAGTATATGTTGGTATTTGATAAATTTCACTTCCAAAGAGGTAGTTGGAATGGAAATTGTATATATTGTAAACGACATAACACATCTAGAGCTTGGTGTCAGACATGTGATCCTCTTATAACAGCCCAAGGTTGGACTAGTGAAAATGAGAATATTGATGAATCCATTAGAAATCTTCAACTTAAAACCACAAGTTATGGGAATATGATTGAATGGATTCCTTTTAATAAATTAGATAATATTCAAAAGATGGTGATGAATTTTTAGCAATTTGGTTAGATGGCATACAAATAATTTCTGAGGATGAATACAAGAATTGCACACAATCACGTACGCCACCATGTACAATTGATTTTAAAATATTGTATAAAAGTACTAAAATAGATTTTATTAACAAAATTCTACAAAGAAAAGTATTTAAAAAACTAAAAAAGTTAGTACTCAAAAGAGTAAAGAAAAAAAAAAAGAAAAAAGATCATATATTGCATAGTTCTCAGAATTCAATGGAATTCTTAGAAGAGGTAAGATAAATTCTATATTTATTTAATTATATGCAGTTCTATTATTATACTTGTAAATTATAATTTCCAATTAACAAGTTTAAGAATTATATAAATGATTACGACCTTAAAATATACGGCTTAACTCAAAACACAACTACTAATGAGTATATGTTGGTATTTGATCCCAAAAGAGATAAATTGAATGGAAACTGTGCATATTGTAATAGATATACCACATCTTTAGCTTGGTGTCAAACATGTGATCCTCGAAGAACAGCTCAAGGTTGGACTAGTAGAAATAAGGATATTGATGAGTGCATTAAAAAATTTCAGCTTAAGACCACAGAGCATGAGAATGTGATTGAATGGATTCCTTTTATAAATTAAGCGATATTCAAGAAAACGGTGATGAATTTTTAGCATTCTTGTTAAATGGTGTAAGAATAATTTATTGGCACAAGAATCAATACACACAATCACGTGGTTCAAGTATAATTGATCTTAAAATATTGCCCAGTTCTCAGAGCTCAATGGGTCTATTAGAGGAGGTAAGATACAAGAAATCTATATTTATTTTATTATTATCATGTGTATGTGCTTATAAATTATATAATATTTATCTATTTAATAAGTTTACAAACCATATAAAGAATAACGAACTTAAAGTATACAGACTAACTCTTAACACAACTACTAATGAGTATATGTTGGTATTTGATAAATTTCATTCCAGAAGACATCGTAATAATGGAAGTTGTGCATATTGTGGACGAGATAACACATCTCCCGCTTGGTGTCAAACATGTGACCCTCTGAGAACGGCTCAAAGATGGACAAGTGGAAATAAGAATATTGATTATTGCATTAAAGAATTCCAACTTAACACTACAGTATATGATGATGTAATCGAGTGGATCCCTTTTAATAAATTCAAAAAAATGGCGATAAGTTTTTAGCAACCTGGCTAGATGGCATGCGAATATAATGATAAATCACGCACGCCACCATGTATAATTACACTTAAAATATTGAATGGTTCTCAGGATTCAACAGATCTGTCGGAAGAGGTAAGATATAAATCTATATTTTTTATGTGTATGTTTATTTTTATTTACTTATAAATAATATTTATCTATTTAATAAGCTTAAGTACTATATAAATCATTACAAAAAAGTGTATGGGCTAACCCAAAACACAGCTAGTAATGAATATATGTTGGTATTTGTTGAATTTCACTTCCAAAGAAGTGAAGAGAATAGAACGTGTGTACATTGTAATAGTTTTAATACATCTAAATCTTGGTGTCAGGAATGTGATCCTCAGAAAATAGTTCAAGGATGGACAAGTGGAAATAAGAATATTGCCGATTTCATTAAAGAATTTCGACTTAAGGCCACAGGATATGAAAACGTGATTGAGTGGATTCCTTTTGATAGATTAAATAATATTCAAAAGAATGGGGATGAATTTTTAGCAACCTGGTTGGATGGCATACGATTAATTTCAGAAAAATGCACACGATCACGTACGTTACCATCACAGTTGCACTTAAAACATTATCTAGCTCTCAGGATTTTTTGAAAGAGGTGAGTTAAAACTTAATTACTTACTGTTTTGTAAGTTTATATCAATTGTAATAATTCTAATTATTTTATATTTCATAATTTTACAAATCAAGAAGTATTACTGTTACACTTGAAATCGACCTCTTGAAACGATTCCGGGAACTTGATAGTTAGTCTGTCACAGACTATTAAATTATGATTTGGCGAGGCAAGGGAAGCGTCAACGGACGACTTAACAAAGAGGCTTTATCGAAAGAGGCAGACAACACGTACGTATATGAAGATACGTAGGGTTGTTTTAAGAAAAGGTCACGAGTCACACGTGACGATGCAAGGGTCACGAGTCACACGTGATGTAAAATATATTTACTAGGGTGTCCAGGATTATGCGGTGCGATAAGGTAGATTATGCGATGCGATCGAGGTCAATTATGCGATGGATGCGAAATAAATTTAAAATTATGCGAAATAATTAAATAGAGGATGCGATTTTTAAAACTTCTCTGAAGAGATTATTTATTTATTGAAATTTAAAAAAATTCAACATTCTAATTGAATTTTCTGACAATGCATGTCTATTATCTGCTAAAATTCGCTTATAGGCCGAAAAGCTACGTTCAACATCTACTCCTGAAACCAGTAACCAAATATATACTAATGCAATTTTGCTAATATTTGGTAACAAAATCATCTTCTCATGCCAATAATTATCCAAATCAAAACTTTCACTAAATGTTTCTGATAATCCCGAATAAATTGCCCATTCACTAATAAGATCGTTTGATGGATTTTCCAATTCCTTAATTGACTTATATAATGTAATATTGCGTCGGTCAATTTGTGCTTGCATATAACGGGGATCAAAACAATGAATTGCTTTAAAAATTTGAAGTGCAGAATGATTATTAACATGCTTATTAAATTTCTCATATGCTAATTGAAAAACTTCCTTAA